TGTCAGTTACTTTCTGAACTCCTTGTCATCTGAGCATGGATATAAAGTCATCAGGTAGATTTCAATGGTAATGTTTTTCGCATCTACTAATTATTAAGGAGCAAAATTTTATGTTCTGAAGAATTATTTTTTAATCTTTTTTTAATTTTTAATAACTACATAATTAGAAAAAGCATTTCACTACAGCTTTAACATATTCAGCAACACATTCCAGAGCAATAGTACATCTCTTTCACAAGTGAGTGCAAGTTTCTAGGTTCACAGTTGAATTAATACAGTTATACAATATTGAACTCAGTATAAGCCCTGTAAGACAGTAAATTGAGTGAGTTTTTAATCTTTAAAAAATATCTCCATTTCATTTTAGACTATATTGTTCCTTGCAGAAAGACTAATTTTTTTTGCTACTGACACTGATATGTTGGCGCATACATCTCTAATCTGTATGTATGTGGTTATTACTAGTCATAATCGGTTGCACTTTGATTCTTGGAACCTGTGTATGTCTATAAAGTCATTGGGTAGATTTCAATGGTAATGTTTATCACATCTACTAATTAGCATGATGTAAATTTCCATGCTTCCTCCTCAAATATAATACTTTTTTAAATTTAAAATTGTTTAATAACCATATAATTAGAAGAGGCATTTCATTACAACAGCATTGACATATTCAATAACAATTTCCAGAGCTAAGTTGTGTCTCTTTCAAAATTGGCTGTAATTTTTAGGTTTACAATTGATTAATACCATTATACAATATTGTACTCTGTACAAACCCTATGAGACATAAAATTAAATGAGGTTTTTTAAACTTTAAAAAACATCTCCATTTCATTATTAAAATACACAGTTTCATACAGAAAAATTCATTTTTAATACAATTGACACTAAGATGCACATGCGTTTCTAATCTCTATATATCTGATTATTGATAGTCACAGTTGGTTACTTTTTGAGCTCCTTGGCATCTGAGCATGGATAAAAAGTCACCAGGTAGATTTCAATGTTAATGTTTTTCACATCTACTAATCATTAAGGATCAAATTTTTATGCTTTGAAGAATTGTTTTTAATTTATTTATATACCCAGTTCCCAGGTAGCACCCTCCCATAGCCTCCCTCCCCCCACTAGAGCCCTTATACTCTGATATCCCTGCTACTGTCTGCTGTGTTGTCGGCACCCCCAGCTGTTCCCCACTACTTGCCCTTCTGGTGAATCTAGTCAGCCTATCTAGAGGTCTTTGTTTTAGGAGCTGTTCCTCTTCTAGTGGTAATAAGCTGTCAATATTCCTTGGTAT